CATACATAACCCTATACTACATTCTTTATGAATCAATAAAAAATTTACAATTTTTAATTATAAACCTGTATTTTGTATCAAAATTACTTCTTGCGTGAATTTTGGGACACCCTTTATATGATGTCAGAGAAGCAGTTAGGTGCATCTTTGTCTTACCCCACCTCCCTTCCAAACAAATATTCAAATTTCGACTGGTTTTGCAGGCAGGGAAGACACAGCCTAAACAAGTAAATGATATTGTTAGAAACATGATAGGAAACACAATTATTTAAAGGACTTTTCTCCATTAAGATATTTTGGGCTTCACTTAAGGTATTGTAAGAATAAACTTACCTAGCTTTACTTCAGCATTATGAGTCAATAGCACATTCTGACCTTTGATGTCCCGGTGAATTACACGGTGTGCATGAAGATGAGCTAAGCCCTGCATATAATATATTTATTTTTTAAAAGCCACATCAGCATATATATTTTCTTTTTTTCACATAATGTTCTTAATATCTTTGGAAAAACTTTTGGGAATAAAAATGGCCCAGATTTGCATTTTTCAGACAAAATTATTTCGTTAGACTGGAATTACTATAACCAGTTCCCAGAAATACTATTTTTGGCTATTAGGGAAGGAAAATAAATCGGGACACCAAAAAAAAAAGAACATCAAAAAGAACATCAAAAAGTAATGTTTGTGTATACACTGGACCATTTACCTTCTTTTCTAGCATCCATATTTCCAACAAACCATAAGAGTGAAGGTCTGGACATCTTATAATTATAGTTCAGACATTGTTTTGCTCTATTCCTACCATTTGTTTAGTAAAAAATATTTTCTAGTCAACCTTGTAGGCTGAGAATTTGCAAGAATGTAAAAATTCATTTTAAAGCATTTACAATTTGTATTGGCTTACCATACTGGCTCCTCTGAAATTAACCCGTGACCTGGCTAACATATGACCTGGCTTCAGTGATATTATTCCAGATACTAACTGGGGATTAATAATAGAAGTAACAGTAAAAACAGCTACTACTTATTGAGTTCTTACTCTTTGCCAAGCACTGTGCTGAGTGCTTTACATGCAATAAATATTAAATTCTCACAGCAACCCTTTGAGGAAGGTGCTAATATTACCCCATGTTATAGATGAGAAAGGTGAGATTTGAAGAAATTAAGTAACTGACTCAAGGACACACAGCTAATACATAATGACCCAGAATTTAAACTCAATCTATCATTTGCATTCTTAACTATTCACACTATTGCCACAAGTAATGAGAAGAAGGACATTTTAACTTTGTATTAGTGCTGCTGTTTAGTTCTGTTAATATTTTTCTTGGGTGTTCCCTAAGCACTTAAGTCACAAGGAAAAAATTGGATTTGGTAGATCAAGATTGTCATTCTCATCGAATTTGTTATTCAAAATAAAGTTTTAAGAATAGGGCTTTATTAAAAGAGGATATCTGTCTGCAAAATGATTTGGGGACATTTTATAAAACACTTCCTTCTATCTTAATTTCTAATGACAGTTCTATGCTTTAAAAATAACTCTAAAATCATAATAACATAACAAATATTCCATGTAGTTATGACCATGATCCATTGAGCACAATAGCTTAAATCTGACATAGCCATTAAAGGTCATGATTTAGAAGAACCTGCTTAAAATCTTGTGGTCTACCTTAAAGTTTAAGGACATCGCCTGAAAATCTGCTTTCTCTAAACCAGTGGTCGGCAAACTGTGGCTCTCGAGCCACATGCGGTTCTTTGGTCCCTTGAGTGTGGCTCTTCCTAAGCCTTAGGAGTACCCTAATTAAGTTAATAACAATGTACCTACCTATATAGTTTAAGTTTAAAAAATTTGGCTCTCAAAAGAAATTTCAATCATTGTACTGTTGATATTTGGCTCTGTTGACTAATGAGTTTGCCGACCACTGCTCTAAACCCTTTTGGTCTCTTTTTTGGTATCCTGATTCAGAGGTCATGCTTAGAATTTTTAAACCAACCTATAGGAACAGTTATAAGGGACATTGTATATATTACTCCCAGGTATTTTCAAGGCCAGAAGACAGTAATTATATAAGGACTTACCTGAAGTATTTCTCGGCAGATATAAGCAATCCAATCTTCTTTCAAACTCTGATTTCTGGTCATTCTAACTACATCAGTAACTGAGCCTGCTGCACATAATTCCATCACCATCTGCAGTGAAGCCAGCAAAGTATCAAGAATTAGAAAGTAATTATCTGAAAATATCTCAAGAGTTTTAATCCATATGACTTGCATTTATATGTAATGTTTAGAGATTAAGACACTGCAAAGATTGGCTCAATTGTCTGATGGAAGACTCCAAAGGCTGGTAGAATTATAAAGAGTTGAAAAATGTACCAAAGCTTTTTTATCTACTCATCTACTGATGGGCACTTGGGTTGCTTCCAAATCTTGGCTATTGTAAATAACACTGCAATGAACACAGTGGTGCATATATTGTTGCAGGTCTCTTCAGATAAATTCTCAGAAGTGGAATCACTGGGTCATAAGGCAGTTCCATTTTTAATTTTTTGAGGTAATTCCATACTGCTTTCCACAGTGGCTACACCAATCTGCATTCCCTCCAACAGTTCACAGGAGTTCCCTTTTCTCTCCATCCTTGCTACCACTTTTGTTGTTGTTGTTGTTATTGTTGTTGTTGTTGAATTAGTGTCAGCCATTCTGACAGGTGTGAGGTGAAATCTCATTGTGATTTTAATTTGAATTTCTCTAATGATTAGTGACATTGAGCATCTTTTCATATGTCTATTAGCCATCTGTATGTCCTCTTTTGAGAAGTGTCTATTTAGGACCTTTGCCCATTTTTAATTGGATTTTTGGATTTTGGGTCTTGAATTGTATAAGTTCTTTATCAGTAGATGAGTGGGTAAAAAAATCTGTGGTACATTTACACATTGGAATACTACTCAGCCATAAAAAGAAGGAATCTTACCTTTTATGACAGCATGAATGGACCTGGAGAGTATTATGCTAAGTGAATAAGCCAGTCAAGGAAGACAATTTACCATATGATTTCACTTATATGTGGAATTAAATGAACAAAATAAACTAACAAATGAAATAGAAACAGACTCATAGATACAGAGAATAGACTGATAGCTGTCAGAAAGGAGGGCTTTGGGGGGCTGAGTAAAAATGGTGAAGGGACTAAGCAAAGAAAAATAACACCTCATAGACACAGAAAACAATATGATGATTACCAGAGGGAGAAGGGGCTAGGAGATGTAGAAGAGGGTATAAGAGGGATAAATGATGATGGAAATAGACTTGACTTGGGGTGGTGAACACACAACACAATCTACAGATGCTGTGTTATAGAATTGTACACCTGAAACGTATGTAGTTTTATTAGCCAGTGTCACTCCAGTAAATTCAATAAATTAAAAAAAACTGTTGGAAAGCCTGGTCAGGGCACATGCCTGGGTTGTGGGCTTGATCCCCAGTAGGGAGCGCACAGGAGGCAGCTGATCAATTAGTCTCTCTCATCACTGATGTTTCTATCTCTCTCTCCCTCTCCCTTGCTCTCTGAAATCAATAAAAAATATTTTTAAAAATATAAATATCTAGGGAAGGAGGGAAGACAGGTAACACACCAGGTATATTTAATCAGGAGGTAGGATTTGAGCTAAGCCTTAAAGGAGAGGTAGTGTTTGGAGATGCTGCAAAGGATTTATTGAAAACAGAATGAGTACATGCCTTTAGAAAGAAATTTGTGTAGGGTACAAAGCTGAGTGATGGTTGGAGTGAAACAAAAACTGTTTTGGTTGTGTGGTATTTCAGCTTATGAAAGTGTGCATCCTCAAGTGTGACCTGGTATTATAGAATAAAATCAAGGTAATTAATACATACCCAAAGTTGGTGCCTCTGGCCAGCAGGGCTCAGCTTGAAAAATGCACCATAGAAGGACACAATGTTTTTGTGGAAAGAGTACTTCTTCAAAAGGTTGAGTTCAGTCCTGAGATCCTCTTCCTCATCCTGCAGAATAAGAATAGAGAGTAAATTCCTAAGCTATCCCATTCAATGACTGTGAGACTCTAAACTACAGTAAATCAGAGGGGAATCCTATGGCAACCCATTAGACCATACAGAAATTTATAGTAAAATTTTATCTAGAATTGTCAGAGAATGGAGATTTTTGGTGAACTGGGAATTTGGGAGAAAATAAAGGTTAATTAAAGATCCTTTAATTCAATGGTTTTCAAAATGTGATCCTGGAACCAGCAGCATCAGCCACTATATAAAGCTTTAACTGAAGTGAATAATTACAGAGTTGTTTGTTTGTAACAGTTTTATTGTGATTATGGAGACCCGGTGCACGAAATTAGTGCACAGGGGTCCCTCAGCCCGGCCTGCACCCTCTCACAATCCGGGACTGCTGGCTCCTAATCGCTTGTCTGCCTGCCTGCCTGCCTGATTGCCCCTAACCCCTCTGCCTGCCTGCCTGCCTGATCACCCCTTACCCCTCTGCCTGCCTGCTTGACCTGATCACCCCTAACCACTCACCTGCCTGCCTGATCACCCCTAACCACTCTGCCTGCTTGCCTGATAGCCCCTAACCACTCGCCTGCCTGTCTGATCACCCCTAACCACCTCTAACTCAGCCCCAGTTGTGGCGGCTTCATCCAGAAGGATGTCTGGAATGACATCCGGAAGGTTGTTCGACTGTCCAGTCTAATTTGCATACTATGCTTTTATTATTATAGATAATTTATATATCATACAACTCATTCATTTAAAGTATAAAATTCAATGGTTTTCAGTTTTTAAAAGAATTATGCAACCATTAACACAATCAATTTAGAATATTTTTATTACTCCCAAAAGGAAACCCCACACCCTTTAGCTATCACCCCTAAATTCTGCCACACACACATCTCAATTTTAAGCAACCACTATATAATTTCTATCACTGTAGATATATCTATCCTGAACACTTTACATAAATGACAATCATAAAATATGTGGGCTTCTGTGACTAGCTTTTTTCCAAGATTCATCCATGTTATAGCATATATTAGTATTTCACTCATTTTATTTTACTATTCATTAAATTATGGACATCTAGGTTTTCTCACCCTTTGGCTAATATGAATAATGCTAACATGAGCATTAATATTGAGTTTTTGTATGGATATATGTTTTCATGTCTCTTTGGTATATACCTAGGAGTGAAATTGTTAGGTCAAATGCTAACTCTATATTTAACATTTTGGTGAAATGTCAAACTGCCACAGTGTCGGTGCCATTTTACATTTCCAACAACAATGATTGCAATTTATCCATCTCCTCACAAATATTCATTATTTCTGTTTTATTATTATAAACATCCTAGTGGGTATAAAGTAGTAGTTAACTATGGTTCTGATTTGCAAATCCCTGACGACCCATGATGTTAAGAATTTTTTCATGTGTTTCTTGGCCATTTGTATATGATCTTCAGAGGAACGTTGAATCAAAAAATTTTGCCCCTGTTTTTTAATTGGGTTACTTGTCTTTTTTATTATTGAAGTATAAGATTATTTATATATTCTAAATATAAGTATTTTATCCAATTCTGTGGATTATCTTTCCACTTTTTTGATAGTGTACTTTGAGGCACATTTTTTTTTATTTTGATGAAGTCCAATCTATTGATTTCTTGTTTTGTTGCTTGTACATTGATGCTAAATCTAAATATCAATTGCCAAATCTACGGTCATGAAGATTTACCCCAATCTTATCTTGTAAGCATTTTATAGTTTTAGCTCTCTAAACATTTAGGTTTTTGATCTATGTCCGACCGGTAGCTATGATGCGCAATGACCACCAGGGGGCAGGCACTCAGTGCAAGAGCTGCCGAGCTGCGGTGACTTGGCAGCTGCAATTCTTGGGTGATGCACCCAGAACCAAGGAGGAAGCCCAATTCCAGGATGGGTCACCTGAGAACCACCCTCTCGCAATCCGGGACCCCTTGGGGGATGTTGAGAGACGGTTTCAGCCTGATCCCTGCAGGCCAGGCCGAGGGACCCCACCTGCCAGAGGGACCCTGTTCACTCCACAGATGCCCTTTGAGCCGCGGTGCCACCCCAGGTGCAGCCGGCCGGGGAGGGACCATGGGAGGTTGGCTCCAGGGTCTGTCCGGCCCATCTCACCCAGTCCCGCCCTGCTAGCCACCTTGTACTTAATTTCCTTTCGATGTGCACCAGGGCAGTAGTTTTGATATAAAGTAGGGCTCAAAATTCATTCATTTACATGTGGATATCCTGTTGTCTCAGCATTATTTGTTGGAAAGACTATCCTGTCTACATGAATTGTCATTCACCCTTATCAAAAATCAGTTTACCTTACCTATATAGAAATAGTTCCATCCTATTGGTTTTCATATACATCTATCCTTATGCCTATACAACACAGCCATGATTAGTTTGTGATTCATTGCATTTTAAAGGTACTGGTTTGATCTGTGGTGATCTGTTTTAAAATATATGTTTCAAGTCAATTATTTTCCTAATCATTCATTCTAGTGGTACATAACTGCACCTTTCCTCCTACTAATGGTAACAGTTGGATGTATATTTCTCTAGACATTTTATATATTATCGCAGTAGTTAGAGATGACAGAGAGAGGTAAATGGGTAGAGATATAATTTAAATATATATACTAGTATATGTTTTAATCTAAACAAGCTCATATTATTTTCACTATTTTTAGCTTGCATGTTTTATTCAATAACTAAAGATCATCTTTGTATATCAATAAATATAAATGCACTTCCATTTTATGGATGCATCGAATTGCATAAAATAGAGATATGTGCCTGCCACTCAGGGGGCAGGTCAGAGCTAGATATATTGTTTTTGAAGATTTTCTATATAGTAATAATCAATGCCATCTTTTGGGATGAACCACCAAGGTAGAGTACATAATTTCAAAAGATATTTCTAGCAGAAGGCATTATGATGTCATCAGAAAAGAGCATCTACACTGGACATTAGGACACATCAACTTCAGCACTGATAGACAAGAATTGGATATTAACTGAATCTTCCCAAGGTTCAGTTTATCCTCAGAAATATCATGGCAGATGTTTGCCATTACCTATCTTTACTGGATGTTAGTAGAACCAAATGAGACAATATATTTAAAATTCTTTAAATATTTGAAAGAAGAATGCTATAAATGCAAGATTTTATGACATAGCTTCTTTGTTACTTGACCTTATTTGAATTAGAGCGTTATGAAAATATACAGCTCTCTCCACTTTTTACCCTAACCTACAAACATGAGCAAACTTCATTTCCAGCAAATTTGTTATAGTGGAGTAAAATAGGAAGCAAATGTGTTTCCCTAATATTCAAGTATGTCTCCTTATACCATGACAACCCAGTAGTTTCCTAACTCTTCTGTAACTTTTCTAAGCCAGTCTAAAACAGCTTTTCACCTCTTAATAATTTAAATCATCACACTTTTGTGTATACATGTGTAATGGACTAGAGAAAAAATATCTTAAATTATTAACTTAAGGAAATACATTTTGTGGAATTTTCAATGAACATATCATTGATTTACACATTTAAGTGTCATAGTCCTAACTAAAAAGGAACTTACAAACAGGAAAATAAGATCCCCACACATGAATGACATAACCATTAATGAATACAAAGTAGAGCATAATGAAGTTGAGGGTGATATGAAATCACTCAGGAAGTCATTCTGCACTTGACAAATGGATCACCACTGGGTCCTTTGAATCTTTATTAACTCTAATTTTCATTTGATTATAATTTTAAAAGCTTTCTTACTACTTGTACAAAAGTTCAATTTTATATGAGCGCTTCAGGAATACGCTTATTGTACAAAGTGAAATATATTAATAGTATGTAAAGTAAGGAAGACTTTTAAATTAATGATACAGTTAAGTTCCTCTTCTGAAATCCAGTGAAAAAGGATATCATTGAGTTATTTGAGGCAATGAATTAGAAAAAGACTAATTGGCATGAAAAGTAATTAAAGGTTAATCTCTAACTATCTTTACTTCTCTCCAGAATTTCCTTCAATTACCTTGACTTGTTGATTTGGGTTAGGGGAAAATACATCTTATCTTTTCCCTAAAATGAACAGGTAACAGTATATTTCAGTCAGTTATTTTCCTTCCTTCTCAACGTATTCTCTAAGACCAAGAAGAAAAGACAAGCAATTAGTTTTTTGTATTTAGCTAAATTGTGGCTCTGGATTAAAATAGTTATGAAAAAATTATAAGGCAAAACTAGGTTTTTATTGTCCCCAAGTATTCATAATATATTTTGTAAAAAAAAGTTTGAAATGGCTGGCAGCAGTAGAACATTCTTTAGCATTTCCCTATGATTTTCCAGTGGATTTACCAATAAACATTAAACTACTAGACAACAAATCTAGGCACCTATTTGTCTTTAGGGGAAGTAGGTGGAGCCTGATTTACAGTTGGAAAACCTAATGGCAGGTTTTTTCTTTGTATTAATTGTATTACAAAGGCATGAATGAATAAAACAATCAACTTGTACCATGAGAATTCCATGGAAGTTCAAGTTCCAGTCTCATCTCATCCTATCTAATAATAGACAAACATGGTAATTAACTGTACCTCCGACACACTTCCCATTGGCTAATCAAGGCGCTATGCAAATTAACTACCAACCAAGATGGCGGCCGGCAGCCAGGCAGCTGAAGCAAACAGTAGGCTTGCTTGCTCTAGTGATGGAGGAAGCTAAGGTTCCCCGCCTGCAGCCGCCCAGCTCTGAGCTGCACTCTAAGAAATACTGTTGCAATTATAGAAGCTAAACAAACCCCATGCTTTCAGCCAGCAGGCCCGAGCTGGAGTTACAACAGTGTTTCAATTATAGAAGCCAAACAAACCGAGGTCTCAGAGCTGGAGCCGAGCCTCAGAGCTAAAGCCTGATCTCAGCTCCAGTGACAGCCATAGAAGGTAAATAAATCCCAGAATAAAAAAAAGAAAAAA